GTTGTTTTCTATTTCTTACTACCATATGTATTTGTATGCATGAACATATATGATATAGAAAATAAACGCAAAATATTTATTTTCATGAAGCAAAGAGTGCTTAAATACTTTGTTCAAAAGTCATCCGCTCTCTACTTCGACAGACCTCACATTTCTACGTCAGGAACATGGCTGTGTAACAGCAGCTGGGAAGCAGGCTTTGGTTCAGTTCTTGAGCAGTTTTAGGGCAGGATGAGGTAGAAAAAGGGAGATCAGTAGAGGGAGAAGAGATAGTAAAAAGAAGAGAGCTGTGAGGACAGAAGAAGAATAATGTTAGGAAGATAAGAAAATTTTACCGATATTTTCTTCGTGATTCTTCTACAAATACGGGTACTGTATATTTGTATCCTTCAATAAATACACCTGGAATTCTGTTTGTCTTTGTACAGGGCATTCTTTTTACAGCTGAATTAATAACAGAACCCTAGCACTCCCAGGTCCTGACAACCTAATAGATATTATGGAAAATAACCCCCTTGTTCATTTTCCTTCAGAGAAGGGAGGCAACCCCTTGGTGGCTTGTCAATGTCAGTTGTTTTTTCTTTTCAAAAAATAAAAAAACGTGCCTCTAAAAATAATCCCACGTTTTACCAGCATAATGCTTCAAAGAAAAAAAAAAGGCCCAAACACACAAAATTTTACCAAGGAAAACTTTTCCCTAAACATATTTAGCTTTTATCATTAGTTTCCAAATCCAAAATAATAAGTTTCACATACCAAAAGAAATACTTGGAAAGTTAGTGACATTACCATTACACTTGAAAATGGAGCAAGATTCTGCATTTGAGAACTTGTTTGTGGAGGAACAAAAGCAGCATTCATTTGTTGGCTGTTTTCATAAGTATAACCGGGTGCAGATGAGGGAAATGGATACTGATTTCCATGAGCAGTTTCAGGAGTTTCCTGTTTCAACACTTCTGCCTGAGAATCGGAAGGAGAATCGTAATTCCCAGCATTTGCATTGGCTATATGCACCATATTTCCTTCTTGAGCATTTCTGAGATGCTCATCCTCATAATACTCCGGATTCCTGCATGGATGTAGATTCTTCTTACATAGTTATAGTGATTATGAAGACCCACTTATAAGAAAAAGAAAGATCTAACCTATTGCTTACCTTGTATCCGAGTGTCCTACTGATGAAACATCTGGAGCTTCAGATCTATCTTCCAAGTCATTGTTCAAAGGCCTAGAGACAAAAGGTCCAGAAAAGACAGAACCAATACCAGATCCAAAACTCCCAAAGCTTAAATGTGAGCAATCAGGAGTATGGACTTGCAGATGATTTGGGATTATGACACCAGGCCTATCCTCTTCAGAGTGTGCTCCTTGTTCGTCATTCTGTATGCTTAATTGCCGCAAATTTGCAGTAATAGAAGATGCACCATCTTCAGCTGAAACAAAACATGAATTAAATGTAAGTCGCCAGAAACAATATTCAACATAAAACAAAATAGCATGAACCAGGAAAAGGTTATGAAATAAAATTACGCATCACCAAGATGAACAACACAAGACACCAGCAAAAAAGGAAGTTAGCTGTTATTCAAATTCTCTATTCAAGGGATCTCATTACAAATAGCATAGAACATCAAACAAAGCTCCTTGCATAGAATTTACATACAAACTTCAATATTAAAATCAACCACAATTAACAACCATACTGAACGATTATACTACCATACCAATTCTCCGAAATTAAGGCCAGCATTCACAACCCTTCCCACCTAAAAGCTTTCTATGGATTTAAGAAACATTACATTAAGACAACCCCCAAAAGATCAAAAGAACATGCAACATTCAAATTGACTGAAGATTAAACCAACAAAACTCACCTTCCTTATTCTCAAAAGAATGAGTTTGGTAGGAACTCATGCTGTTATACAAGTTATTCTCAAAAAGTGATGAACCTCCAGAAGCATCCTCCTGTACATTTCTATTGGACACAGAAGCAGACCCTGCACAGTTAGCACCAAGAGTTTCGATTGAATTATCTTCTGCTTCCTCGACCTCATTCAAATACGGTTTAAGATGTTGATTAGTTCCATCCGTGGGCAAGTTAGATGCATCAGCATATAATTCGGAGTCTGCTGGTGCCTCTAGCACAGATGAGAAATTAGCAGCCGCTGGGTTCTCAATTGAGGGCCACTCTTCATTAGATGGAACATGCTGCCTCAAAGAAAGTTCAGACTCATTACCTATTTCTGACACATTTAAGGTATGACCTTGGGATGAATGCAAATCATGATGCGGTGCAACAGAAGGAGGTGCAACAGCAGCTTGGCAATTATTAACATTGTGATGAGGTGAGTTACTAACAGCAGAAGCCTTGCTGTTCGGCCTACCCATCTTAACAATATCAGCCATAGATACTTGACCAGGGGATCCAAACCAAGCAGATTGAAGACCAGATGTTGGCTGTGATGAGGAAGAAATTCCATCAGCTAATCCAACTAAAGACATTTTATTTTCTGTAGCCACGGATTCACTGCAAAGATGTGACAAGTACA